CATTATGATCGAACATAAGCACTTTTAAAGGATATTCATCGAACAGGTTCCTCGGACGTTCCAATTTACTTACAGTATCGAAATTTTGTAAATCTGATTTATTATCAAGTAAATATGAATATGTTTAAGAAGATACATGATCCTCGCTGATCGGTAAACAAATGAAACTCATTAAATCATCGCGTAACAAACAGCATCGTGCAGTATCTAGCCGTTTTAAGGAGATAACGCGCCGGATGAGTTTCATGATTCCGAAAGTATTCGAACTTTTTTGATACCCAAGACACTGGGTATTCAAATCTTGCCCGAAGTGTATATTTGTTCTTGCCTTGCGTACTTTTTTTACGCTCGTTCCTATAAATATTATCACGTTGGGATTTGCGTATATACACTTTTTCAGTAGCCTGACGTTAGGAATACACCCTTACGATCTCGGATTCCTTAAACATAACTTGTTACAATGCTTCCGTAATGACGTTGCGTTCTTTCTATCAACTATTTCATACCATCGGGAGCGGTAAAAGCTCGTTCAGATTAATCAAGATTAATTAAGACAAGGGAAAATGAATAGCTAAATATAAAATGACTGGAGTCAACTTGGTCTAGAGGATCAATATGAGAGAAGACGATTGTTCAAAGCAAAATTATAGAGAGAACTGTGACTAAAATTGCTACTTCAATAGTCCTGTTAAAAAAATAAAAAAATTGACACGAATGGATTTTAATAGAAAAAAAAAAAAAAAATTGGTTGGAAACCAAAAATTCGAATACTTTTAGCCCCAGATATGACTTTATCCTACTTAGTGATCACTTGAAATCTAAAGTAACAATTCAATTCGAATAAGCAGTATTTCACATCAGGATTCAAAGTCAAACAAATCTTGAAACGATCGTCGATTATTTGAATTTCACCGGTGACGTTCCACCCGTGTTGTCAAGTTGAAAGTATCAATCTGTATTCTGCAATTCAAAGATGTCAATGAATCGACGATGGATCGATCGTTCATGGCCATCGAGGTCGCCGCGTTTCAAAAACACCGGCAGCAATATCAATAGAATTGATTTATATATGTCACGAGGTTGCGATCGCGCGACATTCTGATGTTTGTTATGCCGGTTGAAGCTCTCACGTGGCGGTGCAAATGATTTTAAATAGGCTTGGCCAAGAGTTCGCTCGAAATAGCGACAATCAGTCGATGACACTGCGCGTTGCTCTCTGGTGACGGCCCGGTTCGACACCGGTCATCAGCCAACTCATCCCGGTGGATCGTCATCGATCGATGACGAGGAGGCCGCGTGCCTTTCGATCGACGAGCAGCGCCGCTTTCATTCAACAGTGCTAGCTTCTCCCTCTGTCCGCCACTTGCTCCTTGAAACTTATTTAATTCGAGGTCTGTGAAATCGAGCGCAGGTGCAATCGTTGTTGAGTTTTCAACGCTATCATTAAATCATACGCTTGGTAAATTTTAGTAAACTTTTATAAGAGGAAGCAAAGACCTAGATTCCATAGCAAACACTATATTTTTGTAATAGAAATTCCATATCAAAGCGCGCAAACATCGGTAAACTTGATCCTTATCGGTGAGTAAATTGGATTTTAATTGTCGTTAATGAGAGTGCAATTAAGAGGGTGCAAATTACCCGAGTTAATAGTCGATAATTCGTCGGTTAATTTAGTCGATATTTAATCGTGGTGATCGTAAATTCCATTTACACGTACACGCCTTTAAAGGATAATGGACAACGAACATCGACACGATTGCGTTGTGTTTTTAGTCCGTGTTCACAAAAATTATGAAAAACGGTGAAAGTTGCGTGGACTAAAGACGTTCGATAGATAGATGGAAAAACTTTAACGTGACAAATCGTGCGAACGTGCGGCGAATTCGCGAGATTGATTCAATGAAAGTTTCATTGGGAAAAATTTACAGACAAACAGCCTCGTGACATAAATTACAATCGACGTTTTACGGCGTGAAGCGTGACATTAATAAAACTACACCGGATAGACATCATAACGCGTTTTTTTTTTGATATTGCAATGTTACCGTAACGTCCTGTTACGCGAAATTAACGATAAAACGGTTCGTTTACGATCATCTCGCGTTTTCTTACGTTCGTTAAAAAAGCTTTTAAGCGGTAGATTCGCGTTGTTTTCTATACTCTCGAGCATTTAAGTATTCCGTACAATTATCGTTTAATGGTGGCTTTATCACATCCGTCAAGCCCTTTCCGTTTCTTTTTTGCGATCGATAATAACGTGCCTATTAACTTCCATGTATAAACCTGTTCTGCCTGTCATAATCGTAAACACACTTTTCATTATCTCGAAAGCGAAACTTGTTGGTTGTTCGCGGGTTTAATAACGATTTTTCTAGTTCGTAACGCATAATGATTTATTGAATTCGTATAAATGTCGACACTGCTCGTTCTAACAAATAAAATAAATCAAGTGTCGATTTTCTCAATTGAGAAAAATTGCGCAATATAATGAAGTTTCTATGCTAAACACCACGAGTGTCGGCGACGGGTTGATTAATCCATCCTAAACAAGGGGAAAAGTTTCAAAGTAGTTTTTAACAATATCTGTCATCATTTACATAAATTTAATGGTGTAAATGAAAAATGTACGTCACAGAATTAAAAAGTTTCTTCAATTTGTTTCTCTTTGAAATTCAATTGTCAAGAGACCTGCCTGTCGAAAGTTCCTGCACAGTTCAGCACAGGTATAGAACTTATTGTACCAGAGAAATTGAAGAACAAAAATTCTTCAGTGCCTAAAAATTGACGACACGAATCGCTTTACGAGAGATTCATCCTTTCGTGAATTCGTAAGATTTCTATTGAAAAATTGATTGAACCAGTCGGTTAGTCCTAGTGGTTTACATGTCGCAAACCATCTGCCAAAAATAGAAGGCATTCTCGAGATTCCACGTTTTCGTCTTCATCTTCGAACGTGCGTAATCTGACAAGCCTTTCGCGTAGCATCGAGACTTTAAACAATTGCGATCTCACGGAACAGTCAAGACAATTGTGAAG